TTTGGCCACTGGGCTGCTTTGGCCACCGCTTGGCCACTGCTTGGCTACCGGACTGCCTTGGCCACTAGGATGCCACCGGGCCAACCTTTGTTGGCCATCGGGTCGCTGGCCGCCATTACCAGGCTGTTTGGCCACCGCTTGACCACTGTTTGGCCACCAGGCTGCTGTGGCCGCCGCTTGGCCACCGGGCTGCCTTGGCCACTGTTTGACCACCGCTTTGCCACCAGGCTGCCTTGGCCACGCTCACGCCTTGCCTTGGCGTTTGGCACCGTCAGGCTTTAGTATTCCGTTATTAGGCGATTTCCTACTAAATAAAACCAAAATACCACTCGAGCAATGAAAGCCTAGATTAAGTATCGTTAGTCTTTAATTAATTAGTTAGAATAGCTTAATGTCCATTTCACTTCTACCTAAACCTAGATGGACCATTTTACCCTTTTTGTCTTTATCCATTGGACAATAGCGTTAGGGTTTCCCTTACCCATTGGTCAATAGGTAAACCTTGATTAATCTTCCTAAGTACGAGATTAGATTAGTTTAGTGCTTAATTGCAAAGTATTATACTTTTGGTATTAACCGTTGGATAATAACTGTTAGGAGTTTTATTAACCATTGGACGATAGACTAGAATCCTAGCCATTATTACCCATTGGTTATTAACCATTAGAGAAACTATTATCTATTGGATAATAGTTAGTCTTGACAATCATGTACTTGTTTGATTTAAATATTAGACTTGGCGATGTGTGTTATTTGATTAAAATACAATTAGTACATTAGGTTAGTATTATTATACATAGTACTTTGAAAGTAGTAGAATACTAAATTAGATATTAGCCCTAGTTCATATCTAGTATAAATATTGTGTAGTACATGTATATATATATATATATATATATATGTATGTACTTGTTGTATGTATATATTATATTGTATATAGCATGTGTGTTATTAAATATTTTATTTAGAAAATCAAATTCACTTGCAAACTTAGATTTTATTAAAGACCCATAGTACATATATATATATATATTAGTATATATGTAGTCTTTCATAGTACATACAAGTGGGAGAGGGAGAGAGAGAGGGGGAGAGGGAGAGAAAAGCCGAGAGAGAGAGAGAGAACCCGAGAGAGAGAGAGAGAGAGAGAGAGAGAGAGAAGGAAAGAGAGAGAGAGAGAGAGAGAGAGAGAGAGATGTGATGTATTACTTGACTTTTGTCTATCAAACCCTAGATACATGTATAGGTTAGTACTTGTACTAAGTGAAAGAAGTAGAAAGGAGAGGATGGGAGAGAGATTTGAGGTACAAATCTCTTACAAAGTCAAACCCTTCTTGTCCTTATATATATATATATATGGTTATATATATATATATATATATGTACATAGTACAATGTACCAAGAGGAGAGAGAGAGGAGGAGAGAGAGGCCGAGAGAGAGAGAGATTGAGAGAGGGAGAAATTCGGATGGAGAGAGAGGGAGAGAGTGATGTGTGTGCAAGTGGTTGACATGCTTTGGTCATCCTTGTCCTAGTTGTGTACACTTTCAAGTAAAAGCATGACCAATGCCATCCAATCTTGTCCTTCTTTGTACAAACCCTAATTTTATACTTGAAACAAATCCACTTGCTTGGCCAATCTTCCAAAATCCAATCCAAAGGACACATCCTAGCCTTGCATGCCTAGGTTTGTAGGTTATTTCTTGCAAGCAAACTTGATTTGCTTGAATAAAAAAATTGGAGGAAAGAGGGAGAGAGGGCAGCCGGCCAAAGAGAGGGAGGGAGAGCCCATTTGCCTATAAATAGGACCTCACACTTCTCATTCAACTCACACCTCTTCATTCTCCAAGTTCTCTCCTTGAAAGCATAAGAATTCTTAGTGTTCTTGAGTAGTTCTAGCTTGTTCTTGAGCTTTCTTTCCATCTCCGCCACTAAACCACCATACGACCACCACCTCGATCCTAAAGTAGTAGTAGTATGGTTACGATCTAGTTTCGAGAGAAACCTTTCTCTTTCAAAGCTATCGGAAGCTTAACATAAGCCGTTACTCCGTTCGTTTGCCAACTTTCTTTCCATCGATCTTTTCGTAGTCTTCCTACCGCCAAGAAGAAAGGTAGAATCTTCTTATACCCCTACCCTACGTATATCGTATGATATGAACGTGAGTAAGAATATGTAATGCTTGGCTAGTTGATCGCATGATGTTGTTTGACGTAGAATTCTTTGAAGTATATGAGCATGATAATGTAGAATCTTCTTATACCCTACCCTACGTATATCGTATGATATGAGCGTGAGTAAGAATATGTAATACTTGGCTAGTTGATCGCATGATGTTGTTTGACGTAGAATTCTTTGAAGTATATAAGCATGATAGTGTAGTTGTGTTAATTAGCTTGTAGAACTTTCTTACTAAGAGTACGTAGTTTACTTTGATCTTGAGAACAATTGAATACATAGTTTATAGAATCTCCCCAACTTGATTAACTCGTCAATAAACATATGTGGTTACGATTCGTTTAAAAATAAAATGTTGTTTCAAAACAAAGTATTTGTATTTTGACCTTTTAACGAG